AGCAGCCAGCGTGAGCGGCCGTCCAGAAGCTGGCAACTGATCTGCCTCACCCGGGAAGAGCGCAATGATGGTGCCAACTTGGGCCAGTGAAGCAACGTCCTCCACAGACTGAAGAACAAAGGGACGGCAACTTGTCTGTTCCCATCCCCCAATTCACCAATAAAAATCTTACCAAAAAAAAAAAATAATAATAATGTTGCAACAACTATGTATAGTGCCACTATAGACTAATGGGGGTGTGGGGGCCCAGGGCCTCCCAGGGTCAGGAAATGTTTACAAGCTTTGGAGACTGGCAGCCCTGACTCCTCCAGGCCTAGGTGGGACTGCAAGGAAAACAACTTGTTTATGTGAGTTGCTCTTAGTGCGCATGTGTGCTGGCACCATGACACTATTGTTATTGTGTTATAAAAAAACCCAGCTCTGCTTAACAAGGTTGCAGTTCTGAGTTCTGCCTCTGCTGCTGTTCTCCATTTGCTGAATAAAGTGTGGCTGCATTCATGTCAAAGACTGCAAGTTTTTTTGCCATTTGGGTACCTCACCACCCGAAACTATCCTTAGCCGAACAACTCAGACCCAACAGGAGGGATGACGTCATAAATTATATAACTGTCTAACCACTATGCTATACACCTGAAACTAATATAAAATAATATTGAATGGCAACTGTAATTGAAAAATAGTGTGTTTGTGATGAAATGTAATAGGTTTACTACTGTTATTTTTAAATGAATCAATAAACAAATATTAAGAGCATAAAGGGGTCTTCAGACTTGTAAGTCTGAGAACAACTGTAGCCTCATAACTACTCTGGGAAGTAGACAGAGCTAGTTTAACCTACTTTTTACAGATGAATAAATAGGTTTGGCGAAGTTAAGTAACTTGCTCATGATTCCCAAAACACTGTTCTGGGAATGTGTTCCTGACTACACATCAAAAACGCCTGGGTACTTTTAAAACAGCCATTAATTGTTCTGGGGTGAGGCACAGGCATTTTTTCAAAGGTCCCGGTGATTCTCTTACACTGCCCAGGTTAAGAACCCCTTTCCTAGAGATAAACAGGTCAATGTATAATCAGGTTACAAGTTTCCCAAACACCCATCTGACAAATAAGTCTATAAAGAACATTTTCTTTTACATTTAGACTACATCAGTGTAGGCTCTGAACCCACACAAAGATCACACAATTTTTCTTTTTTTTTTAATTTCTATTGGATTTCATTTTACTTACAGGATTCTTACTTTGCCACTCGACAGGACAGTTGTAATCTTGCATGATCCAGGGATGGCTCAGAAGATGTTTCACAGAAATCCGTTTCTTTGGGTCCACCTAGTGGCCATTGAGAAGTAGGTAGAGATTAACATTCCAAATAAAGGACACAGAACTCAAAATTCATCAGAACAGATGGAAACTTTATCATCACAAAAATGCTGTCCAAGACCTTAAAATGGCCTTGGAATAAGTGCTTTTAAAAAGGCAATAGAGGCAAGAAAACTATAGCAACCAACACAGGCTTAGGAGATAAATGCTTAACAAACATGAACTTCATTGGTATGGACATTATTCATGAAGTTCAGTCAATCTATTGTATGATGTAATAGTCTTTTGCTGGAAAACCTATTCACAGGAAATATTCACCAATTTAATATTCAAGCAGCCACAATGCAGGGCATTCATACTGAATATGCAATCTCTACCTCCCCATGAGGTTACCATCACATAGGACAAGTTGAAAAGCACACCTTTCTTTTCCATTTGTAATTTTCAAATGTGACGAGGGGAAAATTAATCAACAAAGATTAATTTTTTGGCGTTTACAAGAAAGGATGAGGTGTTTTCAATCTCACAGAGATTTGGTGGTCTGGCCCTACTTAATCAAGGTGGGTGAGCCTGAGGTGAATTTTGAATAAAAAGTGGAGATGGCTTAATAGATAGAAAAACTGGGAGATATTCTGAATATATAATAATGAAAAAAACTGCACTAATAGGGTACTCATATTTTCAGTGTTTCCTATTAACTTCATTTTATCCTCCTAACACTACCTAGCAGTGAGGCCAGGCCGGGCATCCCCATTTTATAGATCAGAACTAAGGTAGGTGACATGCATACTGATTAAAAGGGTGGATGCCTAGACCTCAGCATTCCTGTCTTTCACTCTCATAGGCCATTCTGCTAAATCTGTGTGTCCCAGCAACATCAGCTTGTTAGAAATGCAAATTCTTGGGCTGGCCGAGTGGCGCATTGGTTAAGAGCCGGCTTGCGACACCAGAGGGCCCCAGTTTGGATCCCACATATAAGGGCCAGTGACACTGCCCTCTATAGCTAAAGATGCTAAACAACAGCTCGGCCTGGAGCTGGGCTGCCATGAGTCGCCGGCAACGGCATAGGCTGCAGCCCCTGCTGCAGTGGGTTGCCATGGGCTACCGTGTGTAGCCAGCAACCAGCGTGAGCAGCCTGCAGCCGCCCTGAGCGGCCATCCAGAAGCCGGCGACTGATCTGCCTCGCCCAGGAAGAGCGCAATGACGGTGCCAACTTGGGCCAATGAAGCAACGTCCTCCACAACTAGACTGAAGAACAAAAGGACAGCAACTTGTCTGTTCTCCTTCCCCCAATTCCCCAGCGCTATCCCCATCCCCCAATTCCCCAATAAAAATCTTTAAAAAAAAAAAAAAAAGCAAATTCTTAGTCTTGCCCCAGATCTAATGAATCAGACACCCTCAGGGTGGAGCCAGCAATCTGTGTTTTATTTATTTATTATTATTATTTTTTTTTAGCTGAGCCATCCTGCTACCTGTTGGCAGCTCAGCAGCTGCTCAGCTCGGGCCGGGACTCGAACCGCTGTTGCTCAGAGCTCAACCCCTTGAGCGAGCTCTTAACCAACTGAGCCACTCGGCCGGCCCAGCAATCTGTGTTTTAACAAGCCCACCTGCCAACTGCAATGCATGCTCAAGTTTAAGAACCACTACATTAGATCATGGGGCCCCTTCAATTGTATGTTAGCTCATTCAAGCATTTATTCAGTATCTACTGCATATCTAATGTACAAGATTGGCAGCAAGAAAACAGAAGATAGTGGAGCAAAAGCTGGTTAGAGAAAACAGACAATGCTGAAGAAAAAGAAGGAAAAACCATTATCAACAAAGACATACAGTAGAGGTCGAAAAGAAAATGCATTTTCAACAGAATTAAGAACGCATCTAGTAGAGAATATTTTCATGGTAGACATAATGAATGCGATTTTTTAAAACTAATAGATAAATGGTGCTGTCCTCCAAATGTAGCAGCACCACAGACATCCTAAAGTTGGATCAATCAATTGCAATAGACTTCTATTATTTAAAAATCCTAAATAAATAACAAAGTTTACCTGTAGCATTTGTTGAAGAAGCAGAATGCTACTGGGAGAGAGCCACTTAGGAACCTCATATTTCCCTCTCTACAAAAAAAACAGAGAAAATAGTTAAGAGATTTAGGTTCAATCAGCCTTGACACATATTTCAAAGCCAACAACATACTGGAGGTTTAATTCCAAGCTTGAAGACTTTACCCAACTATAAAATTTTATAGTTGAACATTATTAATAACATAAGAAATCCATTTCTTGCCTTAAAGAAAAAAAAAACAGTAAATTAAATACTATTGTCACCTCTAAATTATCATATCAGAGGACTAGAGTATAGAGACTGTAACAGTGGAAAACATAAAGGTTATAGGGCTTTGGAATCTGCAGTATGCCCCGTAGTCGATTTTGCATTGCTAAAGGAAATTTGAGTTTATAATCTTGGAACAATTATCAATTGACAAAATGACGTGGCAGAAAAGCATATGTGGTGGCAGGTCACACAGGCTGTGCTTATTAAAAACAGGTCGCGTATCATCCACAAGGCAGAATTCATAGTCATTGAGGGAAACTGATAAAAGCCACCGTCTAAGTCAGGTATCTCTTTTGGGAATAGAAGATACTCAGGAGACAAATGTTTATAACTGGTATGCTCAGAAATTAGTCACCAAGTCATCAACCGAAAACAAGACCAGAGGCTTGCTAAGCACTAATACGTGACAGAATACCTCTATACAACCTGCCATACACCCCTTTCCCAAGTCAGAGGAAATGATATAATCATGTCTCCTAGCAGAGAACAAATTATTTAATGATGCCAGGATAACAGGTCAATTATTTGAGAAAAATTAAGATTGAACTGTAATTCACAGTCTACACCAAAATTAATTCCACCCAGATTAAAGAGTTAAATGCAAATACAAAACCAAAGGGTACCTAAAGAAAGCATGTCTTTCTAGACAGGACAGCAAAACCCAAAACTAGGATCTAACAGATGACAAAATAAAAAGCTGACATTTCTGTAGAGCAAAACACCACTAACGGGCCGGCCAAGTGGCTCAATTGGTTAAAAGCGCAAGCTCTGTGCAACAGGGTTGCGGCTTTGATTCCCGCATGGGCCCGTGAGCTGTGCCCGAGCTGAGCTGTCACTGAGCTGCCAACAGGTGGCAGGATGGCTCAGCTGGTGAGAGCACGTGCTCCTAACAACAAGGTTACCGGTTGGACTCCCGCATGGGATGGTGAGCTATGCCCACCCACAACTAAGATTGAACACGGCACCTTGAGCTGAGCTGCCCTGAGCTGCCGATTGGCAGCCAGATGGCGACTGGACTTGGAGCTCAGCTAGCTGCGCCCTCCACAACTAAGATTGAAGGACAACAACTTGGCTGTTCCTCTCCCCCAATTCCCCAATAAAATCTTTAAAAAGAAAAAAAAAACAGAAACAAAAAAAACCCCAACACTAACAACATTAACAAGTTGAGGGAGGAAAAAAACATTTCTGCCTAAATGGCAAAAGATTAATACACTCCATCACATAAAAAGCTCTCACAAATCATTAAGATTTCACCACCACCAAACCTGTTCTCTCCACATTTCCTCCCATCTCAGCAAATGGCAATTGCATTACCAGTTGCTTAGGACAAAAAACCTTAGTCATCTTTACATCCAATCTATCAGCAAAACCCATTGGTTCTATGTTCAAAACATATCCAGAATCCCCTGTCACCATCTCCACACCACTAGCATCTCTCACCTGTCACACTGCAAGAGGCTCCCCTCACTGGTCTTCCTATTCCACCACTGTTCCCCACAGTCTAGTCTCCACTTACCACCACCAAGGTTCTTTTAAAACACTGGGACAGGTTATGTCACTTCTCTACTCAGAACTCTCCAATGGCTCCCCATCTTGCTCAGAACGAAATCCAATTCCTTACTCTGCTCTAAGGCCCTGCAAGGTCTGTGTCCCCACATCCACCGCACTCTGCTACCTCTCAAACTCACCTCCTAACTCTCCTCCTCATTCACCAAACTACAGTCACATGTCAGACACAGTTCCTGCCTTAGGGCCTTTGCACTCTGTTCCCTCCACCTATAATGCATTCCCCAAATACCAGCTGAGCTTGTGCCTTCATCTTCTTCCAGTCTCTAGTAGCAGTGAGGCGGCCCCTGACCACCCACCCCATCATTCTCTGCCTCCCATTCATGCCTACTTTTCTTTTCAGTCCTTATCCCCACTTGTATTACATATTTATTTATTTTCTGCCTCACTACATTAGAATATAAGCTCCTTAATCACGGATTTTGTCTGTGCTGCTTACCTAGAACACTGTCAAGCACTAGCATATAGAAGGTGCTCAATTAATATTGGTTTAATAAATAAATGGGATAAAAAGTATATATTCCAAAAGAAAATAGGCAAAGAATATTTACAGGTAATTGCCCAAACAAGAACTTTTCAATAGCCAAAAAACATGAAACGTGTTCAACCTAGTAAAAAAAATAATAATAATTTAAACAAAAATATGATACAATCTGTTGTCTATCAAACTGACAAAACTTAAAAAAAAATCACTCAGTATTAGTAAGAATTCAGGGACAAGAGTGCCTATATATAAAACTAGAGAGTATAAACTTTCCTGAAGAGTGATTTGGAAATAAGTATAAAAGGCATTCAAAATTGCATATCCTTGATCCACAATTTCACTTCCAGCAATTTATCCCAAGCAGATAATTTATGAGCATACAAAAATTTGTGAGCAGTAACATTCAGCACAGAATTGTTTATAGTAACTTTGGGAACTAAGGAACACGGTCTCCTATGGCAAACTTTGGAGGGTCCCCAAAACTAATAAAAGACCAAACTAACTGAATAAAGACCCTGGGTTAGAAATATAACATAGGTCCAGGGAGAAAAGGGCAATCACAAAAAAAAAAAAAAAAAGGCAATGGTAATTGAACAAAGCTAGAAGGGTGGAGGCCAGTAGGCGGAGAAGCCATTGACCAGCACCAGCATTGGGGTTCTCTGCTCTTGTAAACTGTCTAGGACATAATTCTTATCAGAAATCAGTCCAGCTTAAAGGTGAGGGGAGAAACAGACAGATATGGATTCTGATTATATTAAAGAAATATAGTTCCAAAGAAGCCTTATCAAGCAATGAATTTAAATAGAAGTGCTAAGGTCCAAACAGTTCAACGGCTGACTCAGCCTCTCTGATGAAAGCAGACTGGCTGACCTACAAACTATTTCCTAGGAAGAGCAAGAGCTTTCATTTTACAAATAACATTTAATATTATTAAATTTTTCATTCTCCTTTGTCTAAAATCCCCACTATTACCTAGAGAGCCCACTCTTATTTACACCATGCCAGGGCACCTTAACACTTGCCAGTATCAGAAACTGACAGTTTGTTTCTAAGTTATAATGATGAAGCCTCTAATTCATTTCTCCTTCCTGTCCCTCACCCATGGCCAACTGAACCCCAAGCTGATGGCTCAGTGCTACCTGGGCTCCAGGCCTTTCCCAAGGAAGGGGGCATTTTTAAATGCTTTAGCCAACTCTCTGGGACTCAGCAGTGAGTTACAGCTGCCCTGTCCAGACCTAGTTGGCCCCACTCTATCTGAGCTTTTCCTTATTCCTGAGACCAAGGCTTCTCATGACTCAGATCCTAAGTACCTGACTTGCTCTCTTTCTTGGCAAACTGACTATGTGTCTCGTACCTCAGAGATTTTTACCTTGCTCTTGCCAGGGACCCACAGAAAACAGAAACCAGCCTAGGGTAAGGACTCTCCTATCTGCTTACACTAATTAAAAATGGTAATGATCTACTTGAATCTCCAATCACAACCTGCTCCTGGAGTATCCTGTCATGCTTCACTCACTGGTCAGAACCCCCACGTACTCCAGTGGGTCTTCCCTCATGCTGATTGTATGCAGAGCCATTTGCTGCTTACTCTCTGGATACCATCTGCACTGGATTGAATAGTAACCCTCCAAAATTCATGTCCACCCAGAACCTGTGAATGCATCCTTGTTTGGAAACAGGGTCTTTTACAGAGGTAAACAAGTTGAGGTCACACTGGGTTAGGGTGGGCCCTAAATTTAAATTTAATATGACTGGTGTTCTTATGTGAAGAAGGAAATTTAGGCACAGTGACACAAACACACAGGGGAGAAGGCCACGTAAAGATAGGCAGAGACTGGAGTGATGCAACTACAAGCCAAGGAATGCGAAGGATACCTCGCAGACACCAGAAGCCGGAAAGAGACAAAGAAGGGTTCTCCTCTCGGCCCTTCCGAGAGAGCATGGCTCTGCCGACACCTTGCTTTGGACCTCTAGCCTCCAGAACTGTGAGAGGATAAACATCTGTTATTTTAAGCCACCCCTTGTAGCACTTTGTGACAACAACCTAGGAAATAAATATACCATCATAAGGGTTTAATTTCCTCAAATAACCTCTCTCCTATCAGCGCCTGCCCACCCTGAGGATAAGCCTGGTTCCAGGTCCTAGCCCTTTCCAGTCTGCTCTAACGCACAGCTAGCCAACAGGCCCATAACCAGACCTATGATAATTAAAGACATGTTATGCTTTTAAATCCAGAAACTACCATCCAAAACAAAAGTATCCTTAACTAAAAGTAGCAGAATTCTATAGAAAGCAGATTAAAAATAAATATCCAGACCAAAGTACTGAATAAGAGCTCCATCACACTGATTCCAAGTTCCTCTCTGCCTCTTTTTACCACCCCTTTTCTCATCCCATCATGAATTCCTGAAGTATCCTTTCCTAGATCCCTGAGCTGTGCTGTAAGCTAGCACCACAGAAGCAATCCTATCTAGAAAGCGGCAGAGAGAATAGTGAGTACTTGGCACTGGAAACAGCGATGGATTGCAGTCATACATTATTTGTGAATCCAAGTTCTGCCTCTTACTAACTCCTTGAACTTGTACGAGTTATTTAATATCTCTAACCCTGTCCTAAGAGAGTAGGCTCTAGAAACAAACTGCCTAGATTCAAATCCAGGATCTACCACTTACTAGCTGTGTAGATGAGGTATTTAATCTTGCTGCACCTTGGTTTCCTCATCCGTAAAAAGG